CCTACGTTTCCCCTTGGGGAAATGGGGCAGGGCAACCCAAGGTCTCAGGGGAATCATAAGCCCAGGAATTGCAGGGGAGATGGTCAAACCATGAACATCACATCGTTAATGTCCCCCAGCATCCCCTGCCCACCCAGGCCTGACACCCTCAGGCAGGAAGAAAGAAACCAGAGTTTACAAACACCTCTTTATTGCAGAAATTTCAGGCACAGGTACATGGAAGAAGCTGTATTGCAGATTTTATACAGGATGGTGTAAGAGGCAGCAGGCACCTACCTCTCTCCCAACCCCCACTCCCCAAACACACAGCATCCTAAATCAGTCCCACTGAAATCTCCTTAATTTGTAGCCTTCTAGAAACAGTACATCATCCAGTCCTGTGCTCAGTGTAGCCCGACAACTTGTGGGGGTCTGAGGGAGTCCTTGGCCTCCATCCATAGTGCAGGAAGGAAGGGGGAGTGCAGGTCAGGCATAACTGTGGTGCCCTCACCAATCCTGAAACCCCTAAACCCCCTAGGTTTGGTTCTAGCTTCTGGTTGCTACCTTGCCACCAGGCTTATACCACCAGAGGTCTCAGGGCTAAAGGGCTAGTTCTGCAATGGGCAAGGCCTCTCTCCCCCAAAGTGAGAAGCAGAAACTGCCCCAATAGTTAAGATTTCCTGGGACTTGAAAACAATGTGAAGGTGTGTGTGTGTGGTGAGAGAGGAAGCAGGAGGCCTAGAGATGCCTTGCAGATGTCTGAGGGGTGAGAAATCCCAGAGCACAAATCCCTCAAACTCAGACTCCAATTGCCTACTTTCATAACTCTGAGTCTATACTCCAACCCAACTGGGCCTGGCTCTGTGGGCAATGGAGGCTGGGCGTTCTGGGCACTCACCTCTAGGCAATGATATCCAAAGCAGGTGGTACAAAATCTGAGCTGCCCTCTGCTTGGCTTGGGGTTTGTGGGGTACCCTGGATGTGATCCTGACTGTTCTGGGGGGTAGAACAGGACCCTCTCCCTCAAACCTTTGCTCATTTTATACAGGGTAGTTTTGCTGAGACCTCAGTCCGGAGCACCTGAACCTGATGAGTCACTTTCAGTGGGATTCTAGATCATCTCTATTACCAGAGCCCTGATCCTACCCAATGTAGGAGTCATCAGAACTGAGTGCAGAGGCTTCAGTGCAAAGGAAGCTTCGGGCTGGACCTGAGCTCTGTCTGCAGCTCAGTTTTCCAAGACCAGGGGGGCCGAGGTGGGGAATACTATGCCCCACAGGGCTTCTGAGAGAAGCTAGCTGGGAGTGCTGCTTCAGCCGTTTTCTCTTTGCAACAGGTATTGCTGAGTTGGGGGAGAGGTGGGAAGGTGAGACATGAGAGAGCCAATGGAGCAGGGTGATTACTGATGCTCAGCCAACTATTAAACTAATTAAAACAATTTAAACTGTTAAGAAAATTTTGTGGTTTTATTGTATCATGAGGCATTGAAACATACGAACAAATCAATATCTGGGCGGTGAGGCAGCTGCTTTCTCCTTCACTTCTTTGGGTTACTAGAGCAACTTGTCAGTAGATTAAAAAAAAAAAAAAAAAAAAAGACAACCTTTTGCATTACTTAAGTCTTTCCAAGGCATGCGCTGGTACAACACAAACTTCTCCTGTCAGATGCAACTAGTCTAGCATCCAAACATCATGCACAATACCTCGGTAGCAGCGCACTGCGCCCGCTCCCGCCGCGGCCCTGCTCGTTTGTGTATGGTATTTGGGGCATCTGGAGGAGTGTGAATAGTATCAGGAAGAGGAGGGAGAAGGAAACAGCATGAGTGCCTGGCTGGGAGGAGGTCAGCCAAAGTTGTGCAGGGCAAGCCTGAACATGTCATTGGTGCAAACCCAAGCATCGTTGATGTTCTTTAATAGGAACATCTGGTGGAACCCCATGATGGGGTCTTCATCAGCCTTGAGCTGGCCCACAACCATGCTGATGATGCAGCTATCTGGCGTGGGCTGATGGTCCTGTGCCGTGATGCTGTGCTGGTTTTTCTGGAACGGAAGGCTAAACAACTTCTCCACAATGGCAGCTTTCCCCTGGAACTGCTGTCCTTCCCACGTAAGGCATGATGCGTCAATATAAATTGCGCCTAGTTGGGTTCTGTTGTTATCAAATAACTGGTAGTAATGTTGAATGAAGCTGGATCCAGTCTGCTCCCAAATTGGCGTGTCTCCCGTTCTGGAGCGTCACCCGGCCTCGTTGAGACCCGAGGGGCTGGCAGGATGGCGGCAGCGGCGGCGGCCTTGTTTTTTGTTTTTAAATGAGTCTTCAATCAAGAACAAGTGCAAATCAATCAGAACTCTATGTGTACTAGGTGCATCTACAGTATCTTCAAATAAAGAAACGTCGCCTCGATTAACACATACACAAAATAAAGCCTCTCTATGTGTCAGTTATCTCCCGGGTCCTTTATTTGGGAAATAATTCCATATTTGACAACTCTCTCTAAGCAGAAGTTGCTTGAATTTTTAGCAAGACAGAATGTCCCATCTATAGTAGACTGTGGCTGAACTTTTTGAAGCAGTTTACTCCATTAGGAGAACGGACATTTTAAGGGATTGGCATTAATTCTAAGTAGTTCATTTAATTCATTTACGATTACATTTGTAATGCTAATAAGAAAATGTCAAAGGGGAGCATATGTTTGTTTTCATGTTGCCACGATGGCATGGACTCTCTGTGTTCTCAGTTAAGTATTTGAGAATAAATGGTCAAAACAACTCCTTTAAATACTTCTTGTTTGTTTATACATTAAGTGAGCCACAGTTTCCTAAAGTACTCAAAATGAGAATATATTATCTCAGAGACTGCCTGTTTAGAAGTTTGTATTGTATTTGCAGTGCTCCTGACAAGGCTATTACTATCTAGAAGCATTACTTGGGACTGGATAAGGGGATTTTTTTTGCTAGTTATTCTCTCATTTAGGTCATCTACTGAATATGAATTGACCAGTTGACAGCTATCTAGAAAAGAGATAAACTTACCCAATACTGTTTTGAATAGATTCATGAATTTAAATTACCTGCCTCCTAGAAGTAGCTAAAATGGTCCAGGAGAGAACATCCTTCTAAACTTGGTAAATCATTCACAAATTGAATTTTATTTAAAATGGCTGATACCTTCCTATTCCTAAAACTCATTTGTCTCTCCAAACTACTGAGTAAAAATCACGGTGTATTTCTTAATTGTATTCAATGAGGGGGCAATGGAAGCTCTCTTTTAGGGAGCAAAGCTTCTAAAATCTTGGGTCTGCAATCTTGGCTACCACAGCACTCCCCAGTTCCTTTAGCATTGTTTGGATAGAAGCCTGGGTTTGCTCTTTCAGATTTAATAAAATATAAATGCTCAGTGTGATCTTATAAAGAAGAAACGGTATCACTGATAGAAGGAGGGAAGTTGGCAGTGGCTTGGTGGTGACGAAAAACGGTGGTGGGGTGCAGTCCTCTGTTCTGGACGTCTAGTTCAGTCAACTACTTCACAGTATTGAGCTGCTAAGGGAGGACTGTGAAGTAGACATGAACTCACATGCGTTGTGTCTCCCTTTGGGGTCTTACCTTCTTCATCTTTCAACAAAGCAAGCATGGCCAAGCCAGTCACTGTGCCCTTTGCTCATGGTCCCTGTTGGTGGAGAAGACCCGGACTGCCACGTTACACGCTGAGACCACACCTCCAGCCCTCAGATGATTGCAGTAGATATTGACCTGAGGACAACCTCCATGGGCCAGCCCATGCCCAGTAAGTGGTCTGGAAAAGAAAGCAAGATGCACTGATCACTATCTATTTTGAGAAAGTGGCCAAGAAAATATTTAGAGAAGGCAGAGGATAAAAATACGTATCACAGGCATCTTGAAAGAGCGCTGGGTCAAGAGAAGTCATTACAAGGTCAGGTTGTCACAATGCTTGAGCAAATAGAAAGTACAAGTCTGTAAAATGGTCATGAAAATATACCAATCTCAAAGCATGGTTACTATGGAGAAATGGTTACGTGTAAAGTACGGCGGTGCCTGGCACATGGCAGTGTCTGCACACACATCTGCTGATCTCTGTAGCATCATCAGCTTTTCTGTTCTGGGCATTTCCTTCTCAGCCCAACACTGAAGAAGGTGGAGTCATCTGAATCAGCTCCATGATGTTCGTGTTGGAAGGACATGGGTACAACTCAACTGCAGTTGACCCGGGAGGATGTCAGAGCCTCGTTGTGGCTGCTTCTTCCCAGAATCCCAGCAGGAAGTGAGGAGAGACTCTTTTCTGCTCTAAGATTATTTAAAGTTTGGCTTAATTTTCTTTGTTATATTTTAATTTAGGATTTTTACATTGATATTTGAAGTGAGGTTGTTTCGTTGGTTGTTATTATTGTGTGCATATGTGGATCCCTGAGTTTTTGTACCCTATTATGTTGGTTTCAGAAACAAACAAGCAAAAAAAAAAAATCTTGTTTTCTCTCTCTAATAGGGTCCAGTTTAACTGGAATCTAAAATTATATAATTTTTGAAGATCATACATCCCTCTAGCTCCTCTTCCTGCCACTTCATGACTGTTATTTTATGCCTTTTAGAGCTTCTGGTGATTCCTTGTATGAAATGTAAATCATAGTGCAGAAACACCACAGCTTGATTTTCATATCTACGTAATGGAAGCTGAATCTCCTTTGACTCTACTTGTATGTAATTTTCACTCCACTCATGGTTCTCAATATTTCCTTTTTTCTTTGTTTTTCCAAATATTTGAAAGTTTGCCCAGCGTGTCTCTGCTCAGACATTGGCCAGGGTCATAAATATTCCCTGTGGCTCTTCTTTTCCTGTTTCTACTGTGACTTTCTATCCAGAAATGGTTTTCTGTTTCCCTTCTAATTCTCCTTAGCTATGCTTACTCAATTTTCACTTTTTATAAATAACTTTATATGAGAGAATATCCAGATATTTTCTAAGAATATTTTCTCCAAGGGAAAGAGAGTCAGACCTGACCTGGGCCAGTGTAAGTTTTAATTCAGTTGTGTTGACTCAGAATGATTTTCATGAACTTGCTGCCTTCCCTGGTCTGGGAGCTCCATTTACTGCTCCATGTCACAAACTACTTGGTGAACTGGAGATAGACCTATAACTTAAGAGGAGGCGAGTTTCTAAGGGGTCACTTGGCATCTTTCTCTCTTTTACCACCATTGGTCAAGCCAATGGTCATGTTCACTTCTTTGTCTATCATTCTTCCTATTGGCTTTTTAAAAAATGTGGCATATGTAGGGCACCTGGGTGGCTCAGTTGATTGAAGGTCTGTCTTTGGCTCGGGTCATGGTCTCAGGGTCCGGGGATCAAGCCCCATGTTAGGGTCCCCGCTTAGTGGGCAATCTGCTTCTCCCTCTCCCTCTGCCTCCTCCCCCCTGCTGATGTTTTGTCTCACGTTCTCTCTCTCTCTCTCTCTCTCAAATAAATAAATAAATCTTTAAAATAAAATAAAATAAAAATATGGCATTTTTGTGTGTTTGCTTCTTCCTTATCCAGTTTTAGCTGCCAGTCAAAAGTGTGATATGGCATCAGTGTGGTTCCTGAAACCCATCTTTGTTGTCCCAAACAGATAGGATAAAATGTTCCAGGTCCAACTATTTGGATAACTCTTCATTCTGCTTGACATTGTTAGAGATCTGTGTCTATGGTTAGCACATTTCTATTTTATTTTACTTTATTCGATTTGATTCGATTCTATTTTCATTCACCATTCAGGTAGGTAGAGATATTTAACACTTCTATCTTTATTCTGAAGTTCTGAACATTTCTATTCTCTGTGTGAGAAGACCTGACTCTCTTAGATGGATGGGGGGAAGATAGCCACGGGTAGATTTAAAAAAAAAGAAAAGTTTTGAATTAACCTTTGGGAATAGGACTTGTCTAGGGAAATATACAAATGTCAACAGGTAGTGTGAAGTGCTGTATTTAAATTAGAGATCAAGAATTTTAGAGTTACCAATCTGACAGTTGTGTGATTCCTTTAGAAGTCGTGGTGTTGGCACAAAGAAAATAAGAACGTTGAATAATCAAGAATTGGTATTTGCTGGGTAGGTACCATGGGATGGGAGCATGGCAAGAGAGTTGCCTTTCTTCTTAGCTGAGTGATTAAACAAGAAACAGTGTTGTCTGCTAGAGGAGGGAAGACAGGGGCAGTGACATGGAAATATACTTTTATGTGAGAGGTGACCCAGCCTCAGTGAGGTCCAGCAACAGGTATCATGGAAGAAAGAAGCTCCGAGGATGACAGGAGGGGAAGTGTGGTCGACGAGTGGATGTTTCAGAGCAGGGTTGAAGTGGTCGCAGAATTCCAAGCAATGAGAGGAAACTGCTGGGTGTGGCTTGACTCCCCATGTTGGCTGGAAATGTGCGGAGTGCGGACAGTCCAGGTGAACTCTGATACCTCCCGGGGCAAGAGAAAACACTGAGGTGGACAGGGAGGCTGGGAGCAGAAACGCCTCATGCAGTGACCAGGACCAGGTCTATGGGTCATGGTGCATCAGCCAGAACATGGCAGTCCATGGTGAACTGGGGGTGTGGGCTGGGATACTCAGGGTGCACAGTGGGAGTCACAGCAGCCTGAATTCACTTTACTTGTGATGGACTCATGTTCTAGCTGAACGGGATATGATAGAATTCATTGGTTTCCTGACCTGTATCCATGGATTGAAAATCCTGGGTTGGGATGTGGGCATTTTCTCCTGTTTCTTCCTCCAACCAGTGTGTCTGACTTTTGGTACTTCTCTGTGTTATTGGGTTTTTAAGACAGAGACAGAAGGACTAAAATGGATTTTTCATAGAAAAATTTTCTTAGATCACAGGATTTAAACTCTTACTATTTCAAATTTTCCATCTTTCGTGTCTGCTCATCAGACCTTCAGTGGGTGGTAATCATTCATGGAAGAACACATCATATTTGGAATGTGTCACTTAGAAAGTCATTACTAGTAAGTATTGACAATCATTTTAATTTGTAGTTGTATCTTACCCTTAGATCATATAGAATCCTGATTATATTCTTTTATTAGATAGATTTAATTTAAAAACATTCTAACTACAAAATTGCTCTATTATTATTATAATTGTTTATATTGATTTAAATTGCAAAAAGAGAAAAATACTAAAATCCAAGATACTGGTTCCAAGTGTCAATAATCAAATTTCACAGTGTAAGTATTAGCATGAATATGGCTGTGTTCTCCATACAAAATTGCTCCATAAGCAGTAATCTGGGCATAGAGTCCCTTGACACAGAGGACCCTGGGTTTCA